GCTTTGCCAGTGTCAATGTATGTTTCCCATGCCAATAAAGCCCTTTGAATGGGAAATTGAGAGAGTGAAGTGTGTGTGTGTGTGTGTGTGTGTGTGTGTGTGTGTGTGTGTGTGTGTGTCTTGTCAGAGAGGGAGAGAGAGAGGGGGGTGTATTTGGAGTAACCATGGTTACTCCTAGTGGAGCTGGTGGGGTCTGGCGTTCTTCCAGGAGTCCAGAGAGACGTCCCATCTCCGGGATTTGAACCAGCCACTCTAAATAAGATTACATTCTATGTGCCCCCCCGTTTGTTTGTGTGTGTGTGTGTGTGTGTGTGTGTGTGTGTGTGTGTGTGTGTGTGTGTATGTGTGTGTGTGCATGCATGTGTGTGTGTGTGTGTGTGTGTGTGTGGGTGTGCATGCATGTGTGTGTTTGTGTGTGTTTGTGTGTGTTTGTGTGTGTATGTAGTGTAGGGTAATGTGAGTATGTGCGAGACAGTAGAGAGGGAGAGGTCTCCAAATAGCAATTTAAAATGGTTTCCAGAGGAAAAGGAAAATAATTTACTTTGGATTACATGTACTCTTCACTTCAGTTGCAGTTGGGGGGACTGTTCACACAAATGTCCACACAAAACAAAATGGCCCCTGCAGGCTCCCGTGAAACTAATTCAATTCCCAGAGGCCGCCGATGTGATGGTGAACAAAGAGAAATGAAAGTGTTGTAAGTGTTGTTGTTTGTGTGTCTCTGTGTGTGTGTGTGTGTGTGTGTGTGTGTGTGTGTGTGTGTGTGTGTGTGTGTGTGTGTGTGTGTGTGTGTGTGTGTGTGTGTGTGTGTGTGTGTGTGTGTGACAACCCTTTTAACAGTAAGAGTGTGAAACTAATTTTTCCACAGCGAGTGAGTCATTCTACTTTAGGGAAAAGAGGTCAAATATAAAAAATAAATAAAACGTCTTGAAGTGTAATTCCATTCTTAAAGCCTTTGTCCTCTCTCTCTGTCTCTCTCTCTCTCTCTTTCTCTTTCTCTCTCTGTCTCCCTCTCTCCCTCATCATCTCAGCTCTGTGATGAATCTCTTAGCATCTGCTAAGTGCTACCTGCTTTTTTATTAATTTCTTCAAAGCTGTGACGCCGTAGCGTTTAATGGAACATTTACTGATATAGCTCCAGTTCCCTACAGAGTAAAATAAATTGTGCACCGGATAGGATTGTAAATACTTTATAAATAATATGGTCGGGGTTAGAAATGCATCAGCCACACAGATCTCGCTACTTCCAAAAAAAATATTATGATTTCAAGGCCTATATGCCTTGAAATAATGTTGAAGGATGTACGTACAACATCCCAAACAATCTGGGAATTACATGTTAATATTGTTGTTGTGAAAAGTAAGCCTATACTATATTAAACTATAGGCCTAGTATATTACTATATACTAGGCCTATTTCTAGTTTATATGGTTGTAGTGAAAAGTAAGCCAACTCTATATTAAACTATAGGCCTACTATACTAATACTGTTCTAGGCCTACCATCTATAGACCTACCATACCATCCCACACCTTTATTATAATACATCCGTGTACGTCAACACATCACTATACAATACCATATTGATTACCTCCACTGCTGCAATTCACCGAGGTGTTATCCTAGCCATACCAGCCTGAGCGAGCATTGTTTCTGCTGTGTTCTGTCCTGTCCGCGCTCGTTAGGACTGTACAGACGGACAGCCATTCCTCTCCATCCCAAACCCTGCATCCAGCCCTTAGCAATAATGAATCACCATTACCCAGGGTCAAACCGGCTGACAACCAATTTATGGCGGAGGATTCGGGAAAGGACTGTGTGTAGGAGACAAATACCTTGAGGAAAATGTGTGTGTGCTTTTTCTCGCGTTTCCTCCATGAATAAATGTAGTTTTTTTTTTTAAATACATAAACGAGGTGAAAAAATAAACTATACTGTTTACAGTTTCTATACCCTTGTTGGATTTCATTGGTGGCTCATGGCTCAACTTTATTTGTTTGGCTTCGCTATAAGTGGGCCCATGCTGACACCTAGTGGTAGTGTATATTATAGACCTAGTGTATATTATAGACCTAAACCCCATGGACACGACATAATAAATCTTCCCAGGTGGTACGTTTTTAGCTTTTCCAGATTGACGATTAGTTGGCATTACCGTAATATTATGACGATAAATCCAGACTGTCAAAATGTGCAGAGGAGGCCAAACGAGACCTAAGCAAACACACACATGCACCTGCAGGCAAATTAATGAGTGAATTCATAAGTGAATCTATAGCTTTGACACATGCGTACACTAAATCGCACACATTAAAAAAAGACGTTTATGATGTGTGGTAAAGGCCACTGGTGTTAAAAACGTAATGGGATTTATATATGTGATAAAATATTGCTATTGCTATTAGTAATGGAATAGGTCGCCGCCCATCATCACGTTGAGTTAAGACTATATAATAGATAAGTAGCGTAATATCTTTGCAGTCACTTTAACTGTACGTTTTCTGAATTATAATGAGGAATAAAGCTACTGCGGCAGAAAATACAAATGTCTACTTAAAGCCAAAATAAGAATAGGCCTAACAAGTAGGAATAGCGTGCATTGCAGTTGCAAGAAATGCACCTAATTATATGTTTATCTGGAATACACAGCAATTACTCTTTAAACAACAGTCAACAGCAAGTCGTAAGAAAACCCACAGTCTGTCCAATTAGTTATAATTGGCAGTATAGGATGATGAAAAGGTATAGCATCCATACTGGGACATAACGGCTGGGGGTGATACCCTCACCTAGTGGCGAGGCGTGGCGTTGAGTCATAATATATATATATATATATATATATATATATATATATATATATATATATATATATATATATATATATATATATATATATATATACACACACACATACATTATGTTTTACAAAGAAAATATTGTTTCTAGAGATATAACTCGTGTCTGAAATCACCACACTACAGTTTAGAGTGAATCACTTGTCGCGTTTGTTTTAACAGCTCTTAAATATGTAAAAATAATAATTATATTAAAAAAAAAGTAATAATAAGTAAAATAATAATACAAAAATAAAATAAGTAATAATAATAATAAGTAAAATAATAATACAATATTCATAAAAATGCATTTGAATGTGCTCAAGAAAGATAAATGCGTTTTCTGATAGTGGACACTAGATGGCGGTATCTATACTAAGGGATAATCTGTTGGGAAGACAAACTAATCAAGCCAAACAAAACGATACTAAAATGCGTCTTTTATGTATAATAATTGTAATGTGGTCACGGTTAAATATTACTTTGTCGGTTATTTAGCCTAGTCGATGAAATACATCTAGGACTATATATATCAACTGGCAGTAATAAGGTTTCGGTTTCATTTTACATTTTAACATACATTTGTACATGCTTTCTTCACTGTAGTATCAGACACACGTGTCTATTTATTACGTTATTTGTATTCATTTATTTTTATGTTTTTTGTTTGTTTGTATTGTTTTGTTTTATGTTTTATATTTATATGTAAAAAAAACAAACCAAAGTGTACACGTGGTTGTCTCAGCAGCAGTCTATGTGGTCACGTCAGCACGTCACGTGACCCTCCGTCTTCTTCACCTTTGATCCACTTTCCACATCCAGGAAGAAACGGGGCAGCAGCTGCTGACTGTAACCCGGGTCCAGATCCAGGTCCAGGTCCGGGTCCAGTAACAAAAAAAGCACAGCTATGGCGGCTCGCCTCCCCGAGGTGGACCTCTCCTGCCCGGTCTGCTGCGACATCTTCCGGGACCCCGTGGTGCTCAAGTGCAGCCACAGCTTCTGCTCCGCCTGCCTGCGGGAGTACTGGTCCCACCGGGACCGGGGACCGGGACGGGGCCGGGACTGTCCGCTGTGTCGCAGCCAGTCCGACGACGAGCCGGTATCGAGCCTCACCCTCAGGAACCTGTGCGAGGCGTACGCCAACGTCAACGAGGACGGAGGAGGAGGAGGAGGTCCAGGAGGAGGTGGGGGGGAGGACCTGTACGCCGACCCCGGGGAGATGTGCCCCCAGCACAGGGAGCAGCTGAAGCTGTTCTGCCTGGAGGACCAGGAGCCGGTCTGCGTGGTCTGCCTCACGTCCCGCCGCCACAAGCAGCACAAATGCTGCCCCGCCGGCGAGGCCGTGGCCGACATCAAGGTAAACAAACACAACACACAACAACAACAACAACAACAACAAGAAACAAAAATTAAAGATACAAAAAATAATATAATAATAAGTCACAGAAATCAAAAGAAAAAGCCATGTAGGGTTAAAGGTCCCCTATTGTACCACCAGGTGTGACGTTGATGACCCATTTCAAAATCTACCCTCTAATGACATCACAAGTGGGAGTGGTCCACCCAGATGCATGATGGGTAGATCAGCCTACCAGTCTACCCAGTTGGACCATACCGGCAACTGGTAGGCTGAGCTACCCATCATGCATCTGGTTGGACACCCACTCCCGCTTGTGATGTCATTAGAGGGTAGGTTTTGACATGGCATGTAATGGGTAATCATCAACATCACACCTGGTAAAATAGGGGACCTTTAATACTATTACTATTAGGAGCATAATCCCAGTAGCTCTGCATAGAAATGGCGTTGCAGTGCTTTGCTGTACTGTAGTTTTGTATTGCGTATGCAAAATGACTGTCAAGTCAGTTATATAGAGCTAATACAGCGTTGGCCTTTCTAACTAACAGACAGAAAAAGTGCCCAGTGGGCTGTCTCTCTTATTGATTGTTGTTGTGGTTGTTGTTGTTGTGAATTGCGTCCACAGGAGGAGCTGAAGACATCCCTCAGCTCCCTGCAGGAGAACATGTTGGAGTTTGAGAAGATGAAGCAGAACTACGCGGACACCGCAGCACATATTCAGGTGAGGGTCAGCAGCAGCAGCAGCAACAACAGCAGCAGCAAATGCACTACTTGCATGACTACTCTTACTACTATTACTTTGGGGAGGGTAGTCTAGTCAGTGGTTAGGGTGTTTGACTTCCAGACAAAAGGTACTGGGTTCGATTCCCCCAATGTCTGTGGCCAACCTGTGTGGGGCATCCTTGAGCAAGATGGCCTAACCCCCCACCTGCTCCTTAAGGACATTCACTGTCAGTTGTTTTAGAAAAGGAACGTCTGCTAAATTACTAAATAGTAATGGTAGTGGTTTATTAATTTATCTGTCAATGTTTTGTCGGTGTTTTTTAATTCAGTCATAAAAATGTCATACATAGTGGCAAATGCCTACCAAAAATGCAAAGTGAGTAATACCTGCTGCTCCTTATAGACTCATGTTAGCACTTTATCTACTCTAATATTATATTCTGTTAGCAAGCATCACATCCTGCTAGCATACCACAGCATTGTTGTTATCTCCAGTTATATCCTGTTAGAATTGCTATTATATCCTGTTAGAATTGCTATTATGTCCTGTTGGCATTATATCCTTTGAGCATACAACAACATTGTTATTATAGCATTATATCCTGTTAGCATTGCTATTATATTCTGTTAGCATAGCACACAGCATTGCTGTGTGCTATGCTTTGCTTTTTCAGTCCACTAGATGGTGCTGAGTATTTTTCTGGTGAGATCAGAGGTCTGATTGAAGTGAGATGAACAGACTAAAAACTTTTCTTATTAGATAAAACAGTTGTTGTAGCTTTCATCTGGGGACACAATTTGCAGTTGAAAAAAGGTAATCAATTGCAATATATGTTATCGCAATACTCAGCATATGGCAAAATGTTTGAAAAAGAAATAATGTCGTATTGTGATACAAGTATCATGATTATATCACGTATGTGGTGATTACCACCCCTGGCAGAGGACCATGCTAACATGCTCATCCCTCCCAGGTGCAGGCCCAGTTTGTGGAGCAGCGGACGCGCCAGGAGTTTCAGGAGCTGCGCAGCTTCCTGGAGGCGGCGGAGCGCGCCAACATAGCAGCGCTGAAGAAGGAGACGGAGGAGAAGAGTCGCACAGTGCGGCAGCTGATAGCTGACGTGGAGGTCAACATCTCGTCTCTGTCCCACGCCATCAAGACCCTAGAGGAGGAGATGGCCCTGGACGGCATTCCTCTCCTGCACGTGCGTTTATACTATATTGTTAATATGTATTATATATATAACATTGAGTCATTTAGCTGACATTTGCGTGTCCAAGACGACTTATAGCAGTGGTTCCCAACCTATTTGGGCCATGACCCCGTTTTTGGGTCTGAAAGTACTTCACAACTTGGATCTGCTTCCCCCTATCACACCAGTGATTTGTAGACGTTAACTTGTGGATATGAATCAATAAATCACCAGTTTGTGTGTGTATATACATACACAATACATTCGTATTTTCACTAAAAACAAGTGGTGTCCCGACCCACAGGTTGGTAAACACTGACTTAGGAGCAGGTAGGGGTTAGTGGCGTCACCCTAGCCACTACACTTTGGGTTTGATCTTGGTGGGTTACACCAATGAGTTAAAATGTAAGCCTCAGTGAGCTGTCTCTGTATTCACTGTCAAGTCTTTGGATTTTGGATAGAAACGTCCTTATTAGACTGAACGATGATATTCTCATAAAATGTTATTGATTGATTCTGTTTTGCCAAATCATGTTTTTCAGACACGCAAGAACAGCAGCGTTGGAAGGTAAAAGTCCACCTATACTTTCTCTATTTCTCACCAAGTCACCATGTTATCACTCACAACGCCTGTGTCCACTTACATCCTTTTTTCCGACCGTTTGCGCATTTTTTCAATGTGGCCTGCAGACGCCTGGACAAAAAAAGGACAACGGCCAGCGTCTTTTTTCAGAGCGTTTCCCCTTTTTTTGTGAAACTCTGAACTTTTCAGAAAAGTGCTGCCGTTGTCACTTTTTTTCGCTTTTTCCCAGCCACCCAATCACAGATTATGTCAACTGTCAAACAAACAATTTTGGACAAGAGTGGGTCATTACGTATAAATGATATATTCTACAGTTACTTTCACAAATCCAAACTGTAATGTTTGTGTCTGCATACGCTGCTTATCACTCATGGATGTGGGTGTTTCCCCTAAGATTTTATTCCAGCAGCGGTGCTGAGGTGTGTGTGAGGTGCACTATGTGTGTGTGTTCTGATATGCTTCCTACATTTAGTCTAAAGCCAATCATGAGCTAATGCCACCTACAGTATCATCATGCATTTTTCATTCTTCTAAAGCAGAACACTATTTTACTGTCAGTATTTTTCCACAATATTTATTTAAAGGGGCTATAGATGATATCCTGAACATTAATATAGCAGCAAACAACTCTTGGCTATGTAGAGATATAGTGGAATAATGGCGTCCTGACCAGAGAATGAAGGCACCCTCCCTGTGTGTGTGTTGTAATCTGAGCTTCTATTTTCTTTGTTTTGGTGTCCGGTCCTAGCCTGGCTCCGCCCACCTACGTACTTCCACTCAATTTTCATTTCACTTCAGTACTAGGTCTGGCAGTGCTGTATGTTAGAACGATGTCTTTTCCCTCAAATGTGCCTTCCAATCAGCGAACAGGAGGCGCGGCCTGAGAACAGTGACGTAGAGGTCGTGCGCGAATTTCAGTTAGGAGGAAGTACGGAGGCGGGCGGAACCAGGCTAATGCTAATGCTCACTGCATCTGCCGTTTGTATACTGCGCGCAACGTGGTTTCTGGCGCATGAAATACGTCACGACCAAACGTTAGCGATTGGTTAAGGCAGATCCAGAGTGGCACTGGGCAGAGCCAATAGGTTTTAAACTTCAACAGCACCCGCCTTCAAGTGAGACATCGTTTGTCTCTACAGCACTGCTAGACCCTTAGTATGAATGAAATGAGTACCAAGGTCTAGTTAGGACTAGGCTATAGCAGTTCTAGACCTTTAGTATGAATGAAATGAGTACCAAGGTCTAGTTAGGACTAGGCTAGTCCGGTCCGGCCGCACGTTCATGATAACGCACGCGCCGTGCATGAGATGAGTTAAGAAGGTAAAGAACACTCCTAATGGTTGTGGTTTGAGATGCTGGTGCTCTAGTGCGACATCTTGTGGCTAAATATATCGTCTATAGCCCCTTTAATGACAATGTAACAATTGAGGGGGGTGCAGCACCTATGATGTATAAATGTTTTTAAATAAAACAAATAGCATTTGGGGGGTGCCCAACATCATTTTTAATGGGTTTTTTTTTTGGGGGGGGGGGTTGCATGGCTGATTGCAGTGGCACTGGTAGCGGATGAGGTGTCATATCCCCCACACACACACACCCACAGACTATGTAAAGCGCTTTGGGTGTCTTGAAAAGCGCTATATAAATGCAATTAATTATTATTATTATTAGTAATCCAATGGTGGTGCTGTGCCACTGCTAGATGCATTTAGGGGAAACACTGGTTGTATAATACGTTTTTGCTACGATGTGAAGCTAGGAGCTAAGGAGATAACGTGGCTAGTTGTCATAGAAACAGTAAACAAAGCACGGAGATGCTGCAGGGGTTTTTTTTTTCAGCACACAACCGCTTCATCCCAGTGCCTGCCAGCACATTTCTGACAGAAAAAGTCGCCTTAAGTCATCCGCAAGCCTTCTATTAGTCATTACTAAGTCAGTTGCATCTTTAGTAGTCATCCACAAGTCACAACTCAGTGACTTCTCTTATTTGGAAGTCATCACTAAGCCATAACTAAGTACCTCCCCCTCTTTTGTCCTCCAGCGCTCAGACCCCCTCGCCAGAGTGCGTGGCCATGCCTGCAGGAACCCTGATCAACGTGGCCAAGTACCTGGGCTCGCTCAAGTACATGGTGTGGAAGAGTATGCAAGGGTTGGTCCGTAACAGTGAGTCCCATAGCCGTCCACAACACAGACCAACACACACTGGCAGCACAGTAGCCATCACCAAGGTTGTAGTGGCTATAGGGTGATCCCAGCCGAAAGGTACTGGGTTTGATTTCCCTCAATATCCTTGCACAAGATGATCCTAACCCGCTATCTGCTCCTTAATGACCTGTCTCTGTATTCACTGTCTAACCCCTACCTGCTCCTTAATGACCTGTCTCTGTATTCACTGCCTAACCCCTAATCCGTTAATCCGTCTCCTTAATCCATCTCTATAATCCTCTAAATAGTTAATGCTAAGTACTAACTTGAAACAGGGTTCCCACGCGTCCTGGAAAACCTGGGTTTCAGAAAGTTGGTTTCCAGTCATGGAAAACATATGAAAAATGTCCACATTGATCAAATGTCCTGGAGAAAGCTAGAACATGTCATGGAAAATTGCAAAGTTACGCTACAGAACATATTTCATGTTTGATGTCACCTAACTAACAAAAAATTGTACAGTTGTCTGTCAAAGGTAATGAGCCAGCTTGCAATGCTTTCTGAGGAGATCCTCCTCGTGAGATCTAATGAATTATCTGTCCCTGAATGAAAGACTACTTTACATTACTGAACACGTTTGTAAGCTTTCGTCATAATCTTTTTTTTTTTTGCCGATAGCAGCAACGTTCATGCTCATTTCAGCCGATGGCGTTAGCTAATGTGTTGACTATCCCAGGCCTGGCTGTCCCCTCAACAAGGAATTGTTCTGTTCAAATATTTGTTGTCTGTTCTGAACGAATACAGGATGCAATGTGGTCCGTGTTTCCTACTACATTATAAAACTAAGAATAACACAGAAGTTTAATCGAAACTGGCTGTTTCATAACTTGAGCACTAACCCTAATTAATTAATTAGGATAAACAATAATCAAATTACCATATGTCAGTGTGTCTGCATTAGTGCTGTCACAGTAACTAATCATTTATAATATTAGAGCTCCCTGCATACTTTTTTCATCTAGACCCCTGGAATGGCAAATCTAACTATGTGACTAGTCATGAAGAGAATTGGTTTAGTGTTGCCACAGTGCAGGCCAAAGTCCCCGCTGCTGTAGGAATACCAATATGAAGTCATTTGCCCCATTGCCAGCTTTTCACATCTTTTATCACATTTCGTGTGTGTGTGTGTGTGTGTGTGTGTGTGTGTGTGTGTGTGTGTGTGTGTGTGTGTGTGTGTGTGT